GTTGTCTCCTTCACAGGGACAGCGTGAATGTTTAATGGGGCTCCGGGTACAGAAAGCTTTTAGCTCTTCAGAAACATGGCAGAAAGTCACAAGATTTCCCAATCTTGAAAAAAAAATCCCCCAGACTTTTGCTGCAGGGCAAGATCGCATTCAGACCCTCCCTGAAATATTGCTGAAGTCAGGGTTTTTCTGAATTTTGAGAGAATCATGACAGTAATAACAGTGCTAATCCTTCAGTGAATGCTCACTCTCTGGCTGGAGCTCATCTGAGAACTTTGTTTTTTGATTCCATCCTTACGCTCTACGGGGTGCAGAATGAGAGCCCTCATCATTTTCTAGATGGGCCCCTGAGGCTCACATGTGATTCTATGAACAGATCATGGCTGTGGTGTCAGGCCTGTTTTGTAACCCAGCTTTGATGTTTTCTAGCTGAGGTGACCTGGGGATAAGTATTTCACGTCCTCAATGATCAGTCTCTTTTACATCTGAAAAATAGGAATAATTGCTCATAGTATTACGTGAGGATTAAGGGACATGGTACGTAAACTGCCTTCCACAGGCTGCCGAGAGACCCTCCCGAGGGCTAGAAAGGATCCACATTTCCAGGGGTATGAAAAATCACTTGTGTTGATACTGGGTCACGATGCTAGTCTCTCCTTTCTGAGGAGGGCCACTGAGACTGACTGCAAACAACTTACGACTTCTGTGACCTTAGGCTTGTCACTTAACTCTCCATGCCTCAGTTTCCTCATCGCTAACATGGGGTGTAAGAAGAGTAAGTACTTCATAAGGCTGTGATGAGAGTTCAGTGAAGTGCTTGGGTCAGCATTTTCTGTATTGACAGATTACGAGAGATGAAGTGCAACGCGCGATATTGCAGTCAGAGATGAGGCGGATTGCTGAGCAAAAACAAATGCTTCCGGGGCTTCTCCAGCAATGCTTAGTTAACATTCGCCTGCATTAGGCAATTAGTTGGACTGGCCATCGTGGTCAGTTGAGTGGGTCTTCACAGTGAGCATCGCCCCCTCCAGCCCGTTACTGAGCCATCTTTATTGAGCCGTCGTCTCTGCACGGCTGCCATGAGGTGGCGCACCAGGGGTATGGACGGTCAAGTTTGCTTTTCTCCTACTCAGTGCTGGCCCTTTGGGCTGAAAGCAAATTGGAACAGTTTTTATTTTATTTTTAAGTTTTGTACCTTTTAAATATTCAAGGACTTCAACAACAAGAATCCATTTAAGGGAAAATGAAATGTGTATGAAGTATAAGGCACATTTTTCATCGTTTGAATGGCCTTAAATGATTAGAAAACTGAGGCTTAGAGGAGAAACTATGTGTGTTTTTTTAAAATTTCTCTTAGTATTCATCAGTTTAGAGCTAACCTTGCAAATACATTTTGGATGCTAAGATATAGAGTAAATAAGTCGATTTAGAAACTCAGCGACCTTCCTGATATAAATTATTCATGCCATCGTGAGTAACACATGCTTCCTGCATAATATGTATTTTTTCACTGTAGTTACAGCATTTTCCCATTTGTGTTTTACAAACAGAAGCGGAAGCTCTAATCGTTTCTTGTTTTCTCTCATTTTGTTTATTATGAACTCTTGTGTGGCTTTTCAAGGAATGGCTCCAGGAGTGACTTCCAGTGTCTTCCAGAGAATAATTTAGTGAGTTTTAGGCCTTTGGAGGAAAGAGAGTCAGCACGGGTTAGTGGAGTAAGACAAACCTGTGTGCAGATTCCACCCTCTACTTTCCCTCAGCTCAGCGGAGATGCTCCATTTCCTAGTGGATATAAAGCTTGCAGTATGGCAGGTGGTGGAAGGGTCATCAAATCTGGTTTTCCATCCTCTGTCCTTAAGCTTCTTGGAAAAAGAGAAGTAAAGAGGTATAGTACTGTAATCCAGATGCTAACAATGTGTGGGTCCCTGCAGAACTAAGATTGCCCGAGAGTCCTGAATTGAGATGCTTTGGTGTATTCTCTAAAATCTGTATTTCAGATTTTTTGGGGGGTTCAAGATCAGTCTTGGGTTTCTACTGTTACTGTCCTCACCAGGAGATAATGGTGACTGCAAGTTTCCGGTAGGCCCTCCAAGCCACTCTGCTCAGGGATCTTTCCCAGCTTAGGTGAACACAACAGGACTGTTAAAGCCAGTGGATCCCTTTGCAGAGCCTGTCCAGGGCTCTGTACCAGTGAGGAAGCCTAAAAGAAGACCAGGCCTCACAGCAACCTGTGTTCAGGTGTTGCAATTAAAATCCAAAGATTGATGCAAAATTCAAAATATTTGTATAAAATTATTGGCTAATCATTTCAGCTCCCATGTAGTCTCACAGGACCTCCTAATCCTTTTAAATCTCTGTTTAGCTTCCCACCTGGGGCCATTTAGAGTCTAACAAATATGCTTTTGGTCCTCCATCTCTTTGGCTTACATTGTAATGACATGAATATGCTTTTAGATAGGCTGAAAGTGTGTGTTCCACTAATGCGAGTGAACAGAGTCATCTCCTGTACCCTGGTGATTGCCTGTCACAAAAGAAGTGGTCTCAGTAGAGAGCTGGTCCTGCTGGTTAATTGATCTATTAATAGTAATAATAGTAGTTTAGGATCAACTACCCTAAAACCTCAAATCATCATTTTTATCAAAAGTTCTCTAATGTTACAATGACTTAAGCCCATCATTAGAAGGCCAGTTCATTTGCTTTCTCAGGGGTATATATTTCAACTAAATTGATGGGTCTGATTCACTAGGAAGTTCTGTTGTTTTATGAGGGGGCAATATGGAGAGTTTTTTCAGCTGCCTTGATGGAATTAATGGCAATGGTGCCTTCTGAAATATGTCCAGACCAAAGTGTTTGTGGCAAATCTATATCGTGAAGAATTAATCACCTATTTGTGTGTGTGTGTATGCAGACTTTAAAATACCATGATACAGTTCCCAAACCATTCGCCATTCATTGTGTGTTACTTGTTAAGCCTGTAAATTTGCCACTAGCAATGTGAAATATCCGTTGTCTAGGGGATGTGTGTGTGTGTGTGTATGTGTGTATACATAAAGATGTCTCATGTAAGGGGGTACAGTTTGCATCTAGTCCAGAGGTTTTTGAGTTGTGTCCAGTAATGTCCCAAAGGTTCCATGGAATAGTCTTAACAGGCCAGTCCTGGGGACAAATAGTCAAGCAGGAGAGCTCTATTTCATTTCAGCTGGAACATTCCACTCTTCTCCATATTGGTACGTGAGGCAGAATTTTGAAGAAAAGTTCTTTCGGTTGCTTACCCAACTATTCCCTTAGTCTTCGGAACAGGGCAGGCCATCAGAGAGCTGTGTACTTCAGCTCCTTCTCTTGACTCTTTGCAGAATCATTTTCACTGATTTGTACTTGGGAGAGCCCTGGACCCCACTGACTGCAGATTGCTGGTGTCTGTGTTACTGATGAACGGATGTGTTCAGCTCTTGCTCAGCATAGCATCTGTGTTGATGAGAACTCTTGGGGGTAAATTCCATCAGTGCTTGGGACCAGGGCAATGGCTTTTCCTAAAACAATTTAAAAAAGAGAATTTAAACTTTACTCCTACGTATATGAGGGCTGTAGTAGCCACTTTTATTTTTGGTCACTTGGAAGTTCATGGTCAAATTTGCTCCCCACTTCTAGCAAATATTAGGGGCAGTACCTTCTACTCTTGACATTCTTACTGTTCAGTCCTTTTATCTCCCTGTACCTGTGCCTCTTACTTTATTTTTCTAACACATATATTATGGCAAGTTTTGTCATATCTCCTTAAATCCAGGTAGATTTTCTTAATACCTTTTGGGAAACTGCTTGGATATCCTGTAGGCACAACAGGCTTAATGTTCTTGAAAGGAAATACTCTTTGTCTTCCTTTTCAAAACTGCCCCTCTTCACGTTTCTCCTTTTCGGGAGAATGGCCCCATCAGTTCAGTCACCTCTCTGTCTTTTCTGTCTTCTCTATCTCATGGATCCCATCCAACTGTTACCCAAGTCCTTGAAACCCAGCCTCTGCACTGCCATTCAGGTTTCTTCTGATCCTTTACTTCATCAATACTCACCTGGAATCTTTGTTTCCTAACTGGCCTCAATGTCTTGATAATCCCTCATGCACACGGATGTCAGCTACTTAAAAGTCACTGGCTCTCCTGTGATCCTTAGTGCTATTATTTGCAGAATGAAGTCAAAGTCCCTCAAGTGCCATTCAGGACTCTTTATCATTTGCTCCCCAATCTGCGTTCTAAATCCCATCTCTGTCCATTCCTTCTTCCTTTCTGTGTCCTTCGCTGCAGCCGCTGGCCCCACTCCCAGGCCCCAGACACAAGATGCTTTTCAGCACCGGGTTCTCTCATCCTGACATGCCCTTCCTGGCACCTTGAAGCCCTTTTCCCCGGCTCTTCTCAGATATTACCTTGTGTTTGATTTCCTTCTTGTTTTCCTCAGGTGAGAAGAACAAATCGCTTTCTCTTCCGTCTCTTCCTCTTACTTTCTTCCTTTTTAAAAAATTTATCTAGGAGTATTTAAAATTTTTGATGTTTGTTTGTTTGTTTGTTTATTTTAGTGGAGGTCCTGGAGATTGAACCCGGCAGCTCGTGCGTGCTAAGCATGCACTCTGCCACTGAGCTACACCCCCCACCGCCCCCCTTTCTTAATACTACTGTTAAAGTGTTCATTGCCCTCTTTTGAATGTTGCTGTGTATGCAGATCTTTCTCCCCAAATCGTGGGCTCCTGAAGGAGTCTGGCTGAGGAGAAAGAGGGACTATATCAGGGATCTGCTCCCCCTGCTCTTAAAAACAAAAGTCAGCTGATTGGGGGGCAGTACAGTCCCTTCCATGGGCAAGGATTGAACACATGGGCTAATTCATGTCTGACCTTAAAATGTTAATTTCGTGTGTATTCTGTTTATGGCCATGGGAAATTGGTGACGTCGTCATGCTAAAGAAGTCCAAGTGAGGTTTTGTAATTTCTTTGCAGAAGAAGCTTATCTGATGTTCTTTTTTTCCTTCTAGGAATAGGCAAGTGAGGAGGCTGAGACTCTGAAGAATGGTTCCCCAGGGCAGTCTGGCCCTCGCTCGCTGGGTATGGAGGGGCACGAGGAAGCTGTTTGTATTACTGTCTCTCTTGCTGTCCCACGCAGCTCATTTGGAAGGCAAGCAGGATAATCAGTTCGTCTGGAAACCAGGTAGGAATGTCCTGGCTGTTCCTTTGTCCCATTTTCATTAATGAGAAGTCTATTCTTTCCATCCTTGTTCCGATTTGTGGAGTAGTGGAAAATATCTAGAGAGGGAAAAAAAAGGTAGATTCTTCTTCTTTATAATAAAGCTTACGTTTGCTGCTTCTGCCTGCATAATTGTCATCTCCATCCGTGATGCTGGTTATCCTACTGAATTTTCATGTTGTTGTCAGTTGAAGTTATGAGTTCCATAGTTACATCTGCTCCGCCTTTGTCAGATGTATCACCGCTGTGGGGCACATTGGTTGCGAGAATGAATCTGAATTCAGCTGATGTCCTCTGCTAAAAAGGCTTTGGACCAGTAATCTATGTCTTTGTCTTTGGGGGTACAAACTAGTTAGCTATATATTAATTGAATATTTTCTCACATAGATCCTGTATATCTAAGTGTGGGAACATGAAAAATTATCCCAAGATCTTTGTCTGTAAGTTGTGACTATACAGTTGCCCTCATGTGTTTTAAGATCCTTAACTGCCGTGTATATAACTGTATGAATGAGCTGAGTTGAGGTTTGAGGCTTCCATATAACTTACATTCTTTTCTAATATTTCCTTAGTGTGGCTATGGAAAAGATGTATTAAATTTAATTTTAAAGGCTAATGCTTTATTAACTTCAGTGATGAACCCCAAACTTCTTGGCTCTTTAGATACTGATGGTTTTCTCTGCTCTAGCTTTTAGTTTTCTTAAAAGTTTCACAGAGTATTTAAAATATGTATTACCGTTTCAAGAGTCCGTTCTTGCAAATACAGATAACTTATGCACTTAATATCTTAGAATTGGAAAATATGATGTTCTGGAAGATCTATGGTCCTCGAAGAATTTTCATTTTAGTCTCATCATCTGTAAATTAAATAGACTGCAAACATATTATGTCACCATGGAAATATGTGTAAAGGTGATATTTGTAATATTTAAATGATCTTCCAAAAACGAAAGTGAATTATGCTTCCAAGTATGTTAAGTAAAACCCCAGGACCATTAGAGATACAGTCTGGAGGAAATTTAATTGCATTAAAGCCTCTATAAATTCATTTAATTGTGGGCTCTTAATACGACATTAGTGATTTTCATTTTTTACCTCACAGTAGTTTTAGGAAGCATTGAAAATAGTTCGAAAAGTCAATATTGCATTTATGTGAATGGGGCTATTTTATTTTAATCAGGAAAGACTAAATGTTTTATCATATCTAAATAAGCACATTTATATGATTGTACTCCTGTCTAACATTCCCAAAAAAGTGCAATTAAAATGGAAAGTAGCAGATATGAAACATGAATGGAATGTGTTAAGGAAATGGGCTTATTTAGAAGCAAATTTTAAAAATAGGCCTGCTTTTCTGAAAGTAGGTCAGTGGAACAAGATGGTGCAGCCCACTTTACAGTGGATGAACACTTTGATAACTGTCACACTTCAGTTTCAGAAGTGAGACGCCTTCCCATCCGACACTTTGCACAGATCAGAATGAATATCATGTCATCACTCTCATTTTCCCTGGTATTCATTACTTTTCTTTCCCTCATGAATGTGCCAGCTAAAAGGTGATAACATATATTTTTCGCATTTGGTTTCATTTCTAAATTGCACCTTTATTACTTGTATGTGACCAGACATTTTAAAGGTAGAAAAAATTTAAAAGATACAAAATTAAAAGTCATCATCTAGACCATGTGTATCTTCCTTTGCGTATATAAATACAAATATGTTAGTATATAAATCACACAGAATACAGACACACAAAAGTTTTGTTATCATTATTAGTTACAGTTCTGCCAAAAAAGAAATGGTCAATGCAAAGTAGGTAATTGAGAAGAGTTTAATAAAAGGACTATTTACAAAAGTAGGAAAATACGAGCAAGCTATGAGAACAGCTATGAGGAATTGTGATGGAGTGCCCCTGGGCTGGTGTCTTTATTTACAGCTTCTCAGTCTGCAGGCAAAGAAAGGGAGTGGTTTCTGGAATCTGGAGAGAAAACTTTCATGGGGAGGATGCGCGGCAGATGCTGTGGCCTTTAGAGGGATATAAGCAAAGTGCATTGAAAAGGTGAGAAGGGGCTCAGGGTAACGAATGGTCCTTGCCCACACATCTCCTGCCAGGGATCTCAATGGCGGGATCCAACCCGAAGCCACAAGGCAAGGGAACCCATTGATGTCTCCATACGACCTGCCTCCGGGGCTGGAAGCAGAGTGTGAAACGGTGGAGAATGTGGATGTGAAAATATCTAATGTGTACATCCCTGTGTGTACATACGCACGAACACTGCTTCGTACAGTCAGAATCATATTCTGCGGAATCCTACTCTCCGGCTGCTTTTATCATATAATGATGTCGTGATGAACGTTTCATGTTAGAGCTCATGGGTCAGTTTTATCTTTTAGTGGTTGCAGAGTTTTCTCTTGAACTTTTAATAGTTTATTTAATCAGTACCTATTTGTCTGTTTTTTCTTCTGGTATCGCTTGGCATTTCAGTGGCTTTTAGTTTTTTGCTATTAAAAATAAAACTGACATGAATGCAGCATTATTTTAAAGGTAAGCCATAAATCAGTTTGAAGAGTCTTCTGCCCTAGAGCAATCCTGGGTCATCACCTTCAAAGACAAGCTCAGCACCTTAGAGTCTGTACCTACTTATGCATGGTTAATGTATTTCATTTGAATTTAAAATAAAAACTCCATTGCAGTTGAAATTAAATGCATTTTTTGTATATTATCAAATCCAACAACTCACATCCAGTGTAATCTGGAATTTGAACAGATTTCCATGGAGATCCAGATAAATACACCTTATTTTAGAAACTTAGAAGCCATTCTCTGGATTTAGATGGTAGCTGCCAGTCACTTAAGCTCTTTCCCGGCATCTATTGTTTTTCCCCTGAGTCCATAGGTTAGATGTTAGTCAACCTCATCCAAGTTAGAGGCGTTTCTAAGTGAGTCCTGGCTTTGGGAAAACAATGGATTGATGAATAATAAGTGAGTGATATATTATGTTGCTAAGGATTTCTGTAATGAGGGAGAGTCTGGTGAGCCTTCGGCTGTGGGGTCATTGATCCGGCAAGGCTGTTGAACGCCCGTCATCATTGTGATGAGTTCCTCTGATCTGTATTTAGTATCAGGCAATCTGTCATCTCTGCCAAGAAAGAAGGATCATGTCAGCAAGTGTTTGAGATGAGGAGTGATGCTGCTTGTGGTTTTAAATAAACACATAGCTATGCATGGTTGCTTGCTTTGTAGAGATGAACAGATCATGGTCTCTGAAGCCACAGTAACTAGTGGTCTCTTAAAAACTTTTTCAGTAATGGTTCTAAGAGGTTCGTTCATTCCGCTGATCCTTGTTGAGACCTTACTGTGTGCCAGGCACTGTGACAAATGTGTGAGATAAGTTGAGAATAAAACAGACAAATCCTCGAGCCTCATGAACAAGCTAATAAACATGATCAGGAAGTTAGAGAGCATGTTAGATGGTGCTAAGTGCTTAGAAGGAAACATAAGGCAAGGAAGAGGGGTGTGCAGTGATGGGTGAGAGACTGATATTTTAAGTAGGTGGGCTATGTGATACCTAACCGAGGAAGTAAAGACTGGAAGGAAGGGAGGGAGACAGTCATGGGGATATTGGGGTGAAGAATATTCCAGACAGAGAGAAGGCCCAGGGAAAAAGGCCCTGAGGCAGGCATGGGTGTGGCCTGTTTGAGGACCAGAGAAGAGGCCAGCAGGCTGGAGCTGAGCAGACATGGGGGACAGTGATGGGAGGTCAGGTCAGAGGGGTGATGGGGCCCAAAGCAGCAGTGTCCTCAAGGTCAAAATACAAGTTTGGCTTTTACTCTGGGTAAGATAAAAAGACACTGGGGAGTTTTTACAGAGTGATGACATGATCTTATATTGACTGAGTGATTGATTGAAGTATAGTTGATTTACAATATTGTGTTAATTTCTGGTGTATAGCATAGTGATTCAGTTGTACATATATATATTCCTTTTCATATTCTTTGTTTTTACATTTTTTATTGAGTTATAGTCAGTTTACAATGTTGTGTCAAATTTCAGTGTAGAGCATAATTTTTCAGTTATACATGAGCATACTTATATTCATTGTCACATTTTTTTTTCACTGTGAGCTACCACAAGATCTTGTATATATTTCTCTGTGCTATACAGTATAATCGTGTTTCTCTATTCTGCATATGCCTGTCAGTATCTACAAATTTTGAAATCCTAGTCTGTCCCTTCCTATATTCTTTTTCATTATAGGTCATTACAAAGTATCGAATATAGTTCCTGTGCCCTACAGTAGGACCTTTTTATCTATTTTATATATAGTAGTTAGCATCTGCAGATCCAGAACTCCCAATTTATCCCTCCACCCCTCCTTCCCCACTGATAACCATAAGTTTCTTTTCTATGTCTGTGAGTCTTTCTGTTTTGTAAATAAGTTCATTTGTCTCATTTTTTAAAGATTCCACGTATAAGTGATAGTATATGATATTTTTCTTTCTCTTTCTGACTTCACTTAGTGTAACAATCTCCAGGTCCATCCCTGTTGCTGCAAATGGCATTATTGCATTCCTTTTTTATGGCTGAGTAATATTCCATCGTATAAATGTACCACAACTTCTTTATCCATTTATCTGTCGATGGACATTTAGGTTACTTCCATGTCTTGGCTATTGTAAATAGTGCTGCTATGGACACTGGGGTGCATGTGTCTTTTTGAATCAGAGTTTCTCCCAGATCTATGTCCTGGAGTGGGATTGCTGGATCACATGGTAAGTCTATTTTTAGTTTTTTAAGGAATCTCCATCTTCTTTATCTTTTTTTATGGCCTTTGTTTTAAAATCTATTTTTTTCTGCGAGTGTTGCTACCCTCGCTATCTTGTCATTTCCATTTGTACAAAATACTTTTTCTATCCTCTCACTTTTCATCTGTGTGTGCTCTTCACCCTGCAGTGGGTCTCTT